TAATCAAATCAATAGACAAATGCTGGCGAGGCTGTGGACAAAAGGGAACCCTAGTGAACTGTTGGTGGGAATGCAGACTGGTGCAGCCACTGTGGAAAACAGTATGGAATTTCCTCAGAAAACTAAAAATGGAACTGTCTTTGACCCAGCAATTCCACTGCTGGGATTATATCCTAAGAATCCTGAAATAGCAATCCAGAGGAACCTCTGCACCCCAATGTTCATAGCAGCAGAATTTACAATAGCCAAGTGCTGGAAACAATCTAAGTGCCTATCAGTAAATGAATGGATCAAAAAACTATGGTACATTTACACAATGGAATACTACACAGCAAACTGAAAGAAAGAGCTCCTACACTTTGCAACAGCATGGATGGAACTGGAGAGCATTATGCTAAGTGAAATAAGCTAGGTGGTGAGGGACAAATACCATATGATCTCAGCTATAAGTGGAACCTAATCAACAAAACAAACAAACAAGCAAAATATAACTAGAGACATTGAAATAAAGAACAAATTGACAGTAACCAGAGGGGAGGTGGGAGAGCGATAACGTGGGAAACAAGGGGAGGGGTTGTCAAGGAACGTGTATAAAGGATACATGGAGAAAACCAAAGAGGGGTAGGATCAAGAGTGGGAGGTGGGGAGGGATGGGGAAGGGCAGAGTTGGGGGGAAATGGAGATAACTGTATTTCAACAACAAAAAGAAATTCAGCTGGCTTTTAATTTATAGCACTTGCAAATTAATTTGAGCAGGAATGCAAATGCCTTCTAAACGACTTTGTCTCAGAAAAATTTTTAGAATCTTTTCCAGAAACTACTGACTTATACTTTATTCTAATATGTATTCTATATTTATATTCTATTTCTTTAAATATATATGTATATTTATAGTGTAAACCTTATTTAAGGAGATGGATAAATTTAAGTCAAAGCAATTGAAATGCTCAGTCTCTTTTTGTATAATTTTCAAATCTCTTTCTCTGGAAATAATGAAAAATTTCTATATTTTGCATATAAATTGCAATTAAACTGATTGGAAAATATTTCCTGAAGGTACTGGTATATTAATTAAAAATAGGACTGGAGAACCCTTGTCTGAAACTTTTTAGGTTTGGGGAAAAGCATGACTTCTATAAGTAGAGCAGTTGAATCACATACCTTAGGTTTAAATAAAGTCTCAACTACCTCCCCAGCCTCAGTTCTTTTATTTTTAAAGGTAAGATGAAACTAATATCTGTCTCTGCAGACATTATGAGTAAAAAAAAATAAGATAATGCCAATGAAGTGCTTAGTCCATGGAAAGGCAGAGAATAAATACATAAAATAGATTACCTATTAATCTCAGAATACTTTTAGTTCTTTTGGACATTTTGAGAAAAACCAAGATGTTAGGTAAAAAAGTTCCTGTAATTAAAAAATGCAAGAGGCCTAGAACCATGCTTGTAGACATAATTATTGTTAGAGCTGAGTGTCCACAGGCCACAGTTCCTGCTCTTTGTGGCCCTACATATCTGTAAGATAGACTCCTTACTCACTCAGAGAAGCTTCCAGCTCCACATGGCTCATGGCAGGTTAGGGGATACCTGTAAGCTTTTGGAAAACTAAAAAATGATAGGAATAGAGTAAAATGATTACTTATAAAAAGCACCACTTTGTTCTAATAGGGAGCTCAGAGATCTGTCAAATTAGGATTTTCAGTAGAGAAGGCCAGTCAAGAAAACATGGACAAAGCCAAAGGCAGGATCGAGGGTGAGAGGCAGGGATGGGTGGGGCAGCAGCAGAGGGGTTGGAACTAAGGGAGAAATGGAGACAACTGTACTTGAACAATAATAAAAAAAATTTCACCCCCCCAAAAAAATAAAAGAAGAAAATATGGGGAGGTTTGGAAAAGGGGCCCAAATTAGTGGAAACATTTTATTCAAGAGAACTGTAGAGCAAAAAAGAGAAGAAATGATAATGGAACTATCAGTGCACTGGCTATCAGAAAATTCTTCTTTTAGAAACAACTCTCTGAGAATGCAGGGCAGCTTTCTTCTCCTCATTGCTTGTCCTATCTAGTTGATTGCAATGTGTCTTGCTGTAGGAAGCAGCAGGGCCCTAATTATTTATAACTCTTTCATTGTAATTACTCATAATTAATTGAATTTTCAACACCCTTTTAAATAAGGTTGATGCTATGCTATTAGACTCATCTTCATTCCAGTCTCTGTTCATTAATATACCATGACAATTTAAGAACATTTTATTTATCCACACCTCTGTTTTTATCTTGACAGTTTATTTTGTTTATTAGATTCCACATATAAGTGAGATCATATAGTATTTGTTTTTCTCTGACTAGCTTATTTCACTTAGCATAATAATCTCCATGTCTATCCATGCTGATATAGAAGGAAAGATTTCTTTCTTTTTTATGGCTGCACAGTATTCCATTGTGTAAATGTGCCATAGATTTTTTGATTCACTCACGTACTGATGGGCACTTGGGGCTGTTTATAGATATTGGCTATTGTAAATAATGGTGCTATGAACATAGAGTACATATATTCTTTCAAATTGGTGGGAGAGGAGACTGAATGAAAGAAGGTGAAGGGATTAGCTAAAGAACATATATGTATAACTCATAGACACAGACAACAGTGTGGTGATGGACATAGGGAAGGGGGAACGCAGTCTGGGTGGAGGTGGGCAAAGGTGGGGAGGATGGGGACATCTGTAATAGTGTCTACAATAAAAATAAAGTAAAAAAGTTAAAGAGTTCATGTTGTGAATAAATTCTATTTCTGTTATTGAAAAAACTAAATTGTGCTGTGCTTATAGTATGTATTCCAACAAAATTAGTGCTATTGTAGCAATGCAAATTTTACAGTAATATATTGTATTACATTGACTGAGGTTTCCATGTATTTTCTTGGTTTGATTTTCTTAATTTCTTTATGAATTCGAGTTTCCTTCAGTTTGTTGTCACTTGCTTGCTTACTTAAGCTACAATTTGGATTTGAGGATCCAATACTTGCTTCAGTTTTTTGGATGTTTTTGCACTACCTGTAATCACACTAATTCATCAAACTCAATTAGCGTATTTGTCTTTTTCTTTATAAATTCTTTTTTAAAAAATTATTTTCTATCCTCAACTGAGGACATTTTTTTTTCATTGCTGTTTAGAGAGAATGGAAGGGAGAGAGGGAGAGAAACAATGATGCAAGAGAGGGAAGCCTGCCGTATGTGCCTGGACTGGGGATTGAACACACAACCTTCCAGTTACAGGATGATGCTCCAACCAACTGAGCTATACCAGCCAGAGCATTGATAATTTCTTTTTTTCTTTTTCCATTGTTCTGATGGCTTTATTGGCTTTCTAAATAGGGAGAGAATGATTTTAATACTTGCTTCAAGGTATAGTACTAAACAACATTTTAAAATTGAATTCATTGGGGTGACATTAGTTCACAAAATCATGAAGATTTCAAGTGTACAACTCAATAAAACATCATCTGCATACAGTATCATGTTCCCAGAGCCCCAAGCAAAGCCTCTTTCTATCCCCAATTATAACCCCTTTGACCATCTCCACCCACCCTACCCCTTTTTTACTCTGCCTGTCACCACACTTTTCTCTGTGTCTATGTGGTTTTTATATATTTGTTTCTTTGTTTAACTCCTTCACCTTCTTTCATCCAGCTGCCAACACCTTCCCCTCTGACAGCAGCCAGTCTGTTCCATGTATCCATGTTCCTTTTTCTATTTTGTACACAAGCTTATTTTCTCCATTAGATTCCACATATAATGAGATCATATGGTATTTGTCTTTCTCTGGCTGGGTTATTTCATGTAGCACAATAATCTCCAGGTCCATCCATGCTGTCACAAAAGGCAAGATTCCCTTATTTTTTTATGGCTGAGTAGTATTCCATTGTGTAAATGTAGCGCAGTGTTTTTACTCACTCATCTACTGATAGGCACTTGGGCTGTTTCCAGATCTTGGCTATTGTAAATAACATAGCAATGTACATAAGGGTGCATATATCCTTTCAAATTAGTGTTTTGGCTTTCTTTGGATATATTCCCAGAAGTGGGATTGCTGGGTCGAAAGGCAGTTCCATTTTTAAATTTTTGAGGATATTCTATACTGTTTTCCACAGTGGCCACACAAGCCTGCATTTCTACCAACAGTGCATGAGGATCACCTTTTGAGGAGAGATTTTATCACTCTCATTTAAGAAACATACTTATGATTTTAATAATTTCAGAATTGTACATAAATTTTGCACAACCTATATATGATTTTTATAAATTGCTATTTTGATTGCTTTCATTTAAATTTTGTCTCATGATTCTTAATAGTGATGATGATTTATTTTTATGGTTTAGGTATACATTTGTTCTATGATATATGCTATATGAGGGCAGAATTATAGTTGCTTTTGATTTATGTTTTATTTTTATTATTTAACCTGAGTGAGATACTGAATAAATGTATCTTTAATGAATTAAGGAACTAGTTGAGAGGCTATGGATAAAATAGTTAAAATTAGCAGTATTGCTTAACTGTTCTATTGTAAATCTAATATATTTTTTAATATTCACATTTTGTTTTTCAAAAATTTTGTATGGTTTACTCTTTTGTAAGGCTGGCTAAAATATGGTATTTTTGTCCCTCATAGGAAACTATTAATGTAATACTAATAACATATATTTTCTAGAAACTTATATAATGTTATTAATCAATGTTATCCCAATAAATTAAAAAAAAACAATGTGATACCACCTCACACCTCTTAGAATGGCTATTATCAATAAGACAAGAAAACAAAAAGGTATTTATTTGCAATAAGTGACCTTATTAAGTAAGGAAATTGCTAAATATGGAACATTTTGAGAAATTTAACTTGAATGGACTTCAGATTAGGGGGAAACAGATTATTTTAGAAACTTAATATTATATGCTTTGGGAAGCTATGTCTTATAAAACTTGATTCATCAACTTTGGCATTCTTTTACTTCTTGGAAGATAAAATGATGCTTTTGATTGAATCATTGAAGGCTTGTTTTACTTGCTTGTTTCTCAAGGTGTAAATGAAGGGGTTCAACAGAGGAGCAATGGAAGTAATCAATACTATTATACCCTTATTAATAGCCACTGATTCCTTTGCTGAAGGTTTGACATAGATGAAGATGCAGCTTCCATAGGTGATGGAAACCACAATCATGTGGGAAGAACAGGTGGAAAAGGCCTTTTTCCTTTGCTGGGCAGAAGGGAATCTTAAAATAGTCTTAATTATGTATAGGTAGGAGAGAACTACACAAAGAAGGGTTGTGATAAAGGTCAACACGGCGCAAACTACAACCATCTGCTCAATGACCTGGGTGTCTGAGCATGAAATCTTCAGGAATGGAGACACATCACAGAGAAAGCTATCAATGATGTTAGAGTCACAGAATTCCAGATTTTGGCTCAAACTGAATGGAGGGAGTATGATTAACAAACCAGCCATCCAACAGCAAAGGATGAGTCTTCTGCAGATTCTGCTGTTCATGATGGTCATGTAGCGCAGGGGTTTGCAGATGGCCACGTAGCGGTCATAGGACATGGTAGCCAGGAGAAAAAATTCAGTAACTCCAAAAAGGTCAGTAAAAAATGCTTGAATGGCACAAGCACAATAGGTAATAGTCTTGTCACCTGTTGATAGGCTATATAAATATCTAGGGATACATGCTGATGTGAATAAGATCTCTAAGAAAGAAAAATTTTGTAGGAAAAAGTACATTGGTGTTTTAAGGTGAGAATCCACAAATGTAAGTGAGATAATAGTCAGGTTCCCACTTATACTCAGTAAATAAGTCAAAAACAGAAAAATTAAAAGCAGACCTTGAAGTTGTGGATCATCTGTTAGTCCCAGTAGAATGAATGTTGTTACTGTATGGTTTCTCATAGCTGACTTCTGAGTTTTGTCCTAAAAGGATGTCAAAGCTCATCAGTGATAAACAATGACAAGTAAACTCAAGCAGGTAACTGGTTCACATAAAATTTATTCTTTAATAATTTGGTGACTGATATTGTTAATACACTGTTGGACTTAGTTTGTAGGTATTCTTATTGTAGTTTTTGAAGAGAAGTTTCTTAGAGATCAACTTAACTGTCCTGAAATCCAATAATTTACTGATTCTGTATCTCTGTTGCACTTTCCCAAATTTATTTAAAAATTTTGTCTATGTTATGGATTGGTTTTATTGACAATACATTGAATTGTCATCAATATTAAATTTTTCTTTTACTCCCATGCCTTCTCTATTTTGAAGATTAAATCTTAAATTTCACTAGCAGTTTCATATCTTTGCTTGTAGCTTGGTTCTTGATGGAGCACAATTACATAACAAATGATTTGGACTTGCTATGGAGGTTCTCTAAAATACACTCATCAATTATAATTTTATGTTCAACTCTTATAAAATAATGTTTTTGTTTCATGTATAAAGAGTGTATATACTTTGGGGTTATATGCCTTAAGGCCCCTAATTTCAAATAAAATCCATAATGATAATTATTTTATCTGTATATCTGTAGTGATCTCTTTTCTGAAATTCAGCGAATGTAGCCACACATACCTCATATTGAACACATGAAAAGTTGGATGTGTGGACTCTGTATCTCTATTCCTTTCTGCCCAACATGTTTCCTTTAATAAAACTAATTGGTTACAGTAGTTGAACTCACACAACATAGAATGTATTGTATAACAACTTCACAGGAAACACCTCTCTGGACCAATCTCACCTCCAATCCTTTTCCTTTTTCTACTCTGTGTTTGTTTAAAATTTCCTGAATTTACCCTGAAGACACTGATTTCTTTTTGCTTCTTACTCTAAGCATTATTTATTTTGGGATGTTTTTAAAAACCTGTTGTTTGTGTTGGGTCCCCCAGCCCTACTTACACACCATTGTCAAACAATTCTTATTTCTGTCATGATACTTATCCTGACATCACAAGTTTGTTGAGATTAGGAACTGCATTTGTTGTTTCCTCAAGAAAATTAACACAACCCAAGCCTGTGGTCAATGCCTAACCAATGATTAGTGATTGAATGACAACATCAATATTTTTCTCCAGACACATACAAAGCTTTCTTCTTTCCATTTGGACTTCTTGATATTGTTTTATCACTGAATTTACTTTTAAAAAATCTAGGCCCATGGCTCTTACATTTTGTGTATATAAAAAATTGTGTGTGTGTTTTTGGCATTGAAGTAGAATGCTGGCTACTGAGTTAAGTCATATCACAAAGCTGCCATGTTCTCTTAATATTAATTATCAAAGATAACTGGTTTCTTTTCCTTGCCTTGTCTGGTGTATAAACAGTATTAAATCTTCACTTTTCTTCCTTGAGATATCTGTCAATAAGATAAGATCAACTTTGCAATACTGTGTTTGAGTCAATCGATCCTAATTTTTTTGTTATCTCAAATTAATTACAAAGCAATAAATTAAATATTTACAGATCTTTATGGCTTGCTATTTTTCATATACTAGTGAATGAAAATGGATTTCCCCAAGAGACCTAATTACATAGTTACAAGAATAGATTCAGTACACTGATTAAAATATTCTCTTCTTACCAGGGTGATTACAGGATCAGTTCCAAGCATTTGCCCAGTTCTCACATTTATGCCAGTATTTCATACAAATGTCATTAACCAGGTTCTTAGTTTTCTTGAGAGCTGGAATTTTGAAAGGTAGCAGAGTCACATAGGGAACAACCTCAATGGGTCACCTAAGATGTAGTGAAGACCCATCTCTGGAACTTGCCTACCTCCTTTGAATTCCATTCTCTTCAGCTCGCAGACTCCAAATGCTTCAATATGATATTAAACTAAGCCCTGAACATTTAGGAAAATTTAGAGGCTCTAGATATATTATTTCATTACAATTACAAATCATATCAGTTTATGAAAAAACTACCTCAAGTTTTGGCAAAACAATTGAGTCTGAAGTGTGACTAATTGATATCTTTTTAAAATTAAATCTATTGGGGTGACATTGGTTAATAAAATGATATAAGTTTTAAGTGTACAATTATGTGATACATCATCTGTATATTGCATTGTGTGCCCAGCACCCAAAATCAAACATTTTACATTTATAACACATGTGTTGAACTCTAATAATGTGATATCACCCATGCAAGGTCCTCTCAGTTTAAAGGTGCAGCACATGATGCTACTGCATGACAATAATGTGGCATTTTGATGATCTCTCTTAATTACTGCTCTTAATGACTACAATGTATCTGATGGTAGTGCTTTCATGCTTTCAAAAGTTACTCACTGCTTTTGTTCACTGTAACAGCACATTCTTAAGAAAACAAAACTGAAAATGAAAGTGCAGTAGAAACTTGTATGTAAGCATACTGTTAGTCTCGCTACACACATTCACATGAAGCCCTGGGAATTCATGAGTTTTTTGTTTGCAATATAGTACAAAACATACCTTGGATTGCTTTTCTGTCATTATATATCTCGGCAATATTTTATTTATTATTTTCTAATATTCTTTATTATTGAGATGAAAAACTTTTCAAAGTGAGTGATGTTTTTCGAGAAAAATCTAATGTTTGAAGTTCTTGGACTGAGAGGTTATTACAATACTAATTTTACATTTGTAATCTATAATTAAGTTGAAAGATCAAGAAGGTCATTCATAATGTAGGCTCAAAAGTTACTAATGGATCTTCTGTATATTAAAATGTGAAAAAAATCCTTAACAATAATAAATAATGCTGGTGTCCTCAGAGAGATTAAGTATCAATAACATCAGTGACAAGCCACCAGAACAAAATTTTAAAGGACTAGTGTAACTTATTTTTATTTATTTTTATACATTCTAAGGCAGCTGAAAATTGTTAAGACCTCCAGTTTATTCTTTATTTGTTTTCATTTTTATTTTTGAATAGTTCATTTTTATTGTATTTTTTCCATTACCATTTATCCTTGCCATACCTTCTCCCACCTTCTTCTATCCCCTCACCCTCTGCAATCACCACAGTGTTATCTGTGAATAATTTATAAACTAGAAAAATTTCATCTAATACATAAAGAGGGGAAAATGTAAAATACCATAAGAGATAGCAAATATTTTGGAACATGTGTTTTTAGATGTTCCTCCTATATAAATATATAGGTATATTTATATATACATATATTTATACATAAATATACCTATTATATTAATATAAAGGTACATTTAATTATGTAAATATACCTATATGTCAATATAAAAATACAGAAATATGAACATTAAATGTAAAACTTGTATAATTTAATAATTTTTATATGTCATACACCTTAAAATATCACATGGATCTACTTGATACCTTAGTCATAATACCTAAACTGAAGACCAAATGACACCTGGGTGCTTCTCCTTGTTTCATACAAGTATATCATCTTCCCCTCCTTGTTGTTATTTATAATTCTTCAGTAACACATTAATATGAGATTAGGACTTTGTGTTCTAAGTTTGTGCTCATAGCTCTTTCATAATTTTTTTCTCAGCAATTACCAATTAACAATATTATAATATCAAATATTTTATTTCATTATCTTTTATTTTTATTCAACTACAGTTGTCTCTATTTTCTCCCCACCACTCTCCCTGGCCCCACTGACCCCCAGCTCCCACTCTCAATTGTATCCCCCTTTGGTTGGTCCATAGGTCCTTTATACATGTTCTGTGATGGCCCCTCCCCCCTTGTTCTTCCATTATTCCCCAGCCCCTTCCCCTCTGGTTACTGTCAGCTTAATTTACTGTTCTTAATTTTAATGTCTCTGGTTGTATTTTGCTTGCTTGTTTGTTTTGTTGATTATATTCCACTTATAGGTGATAACCTCAAATATTTTAAATCCTGAATCAGTGTCTATAGGATTTGAGATTAGTTTATATTAATGAATGGAAAAGAATTTTCCCTGGAGGCTCTGATTAGATTGTGAATAGTTTTTCTTTTAAAAAATTTTCTTTTCTTCAGAATTGAGAGCAGGGTCTGCTACCAGATGTTTCTAGCCCATAGTAAAGCCCACAGACTATATAGTCACTGTAACAGAGAAGGAAGGCAGTCCTGAGGCTTTCTGAGGAGACATGACATTCCCAGGGATTGTGAGCACATACTGGGATTACTAAGTAGGTTACATTATGATGCACTGGAGGATTACCACTACAGCTCATCCAGCCTCCTGCCAATCCCTTTTCCTCAGTTTCGAAGAACTTAGTACAGTATGTACAAACCCAGTCCTGGCCACACTAAACAGAATTCCTGCTGTAAAATATGTATCTTTCTTCCCAATCCTTGATCCTATCTTCTTGTGCAGAATACTAAGAGACAAAGTTTGAAAAAAACTATTGAAATGGAACTGTAACAGATTTTTCTGTTTTCTCTGTTTTTCACAGAATTACAAAAATTTAAGATTGTAGAGGCCATTCATTATATTATCAACTTTTGGTAATGAGTCATGTTTAGAGGTAGTTCAAATAAGCATACATCGCTTTTACTTTGAAGTGGATGGTGATTTCATGTCAGATAACAGGTAGCCATCAAGATAACACTATGCATTAGCTTGGCTAAATTATATACTTAAAGGTCATGCTTCCTACAGAAAATACAACTATGATATAAATTACTTCTTTTTACAATATTTAAAATAGTTATATATCACTGATTTTGATAAATGTAAGTCAAATTTGTCCTTGAGCTAATTTCTCAAAAAAGAAAAGTAAGTGAAATCACCAATGTTATACTTACTCTTAGAGTTTGTGATAGCTTTCACAGCATGTCTAGCAATAATTTTCCTGCAGATACTAAGAAGAGTGGACCTTGTTAGCAGAGGCTTGTGTTTGAACTTCTGGCCACTCATGCTCATGGACCAGCACTCCTGTCACAGGCA